GGTCACTTTCGCCGCCTTCCCTACTTTTCCGGCCAACATCTCCGCCCTCGTCCTCCCCCGCTCACCCAAACCACATTCCGCTTCCCCTACCCTTGTTGTCCCTGCTCTCTCCGCCCTGCTCGCCGTCGCCACCGCCATCGGCTTGGCCTTGTTTCTCTACGGCCGGTGGAGAGGTCAAAAGCGTCATTTCAAGGACACTGATAGTAGCCATGACGAACCGAGACACGTTACCACCAACTTCTCCGTGGCTGCTACCACCTCTGCCTCCGAGGTTTTCTACCTAGGCGGCGCCGAGGAATCCGGAACGTGTTTCGTCAACTCTCAGTCGTCTCCGGAGATCCGGCCTCTCCCACCGTTGCCGCCACGTGGTTTCCAGCCGGACTACGTACCTGATTTTGTCTCCGATGAAGAAGACGACGACGAGTTCTTCTCGCCTCTGGCTTCTTTGGCTGCCTCCGAGGCCTCAAGTCCATCCCGTTCTCCGGAGGGTCCCTACTCCTCTTCCCCTTCCCCTTCCTCCAGATGGGTTTCTCCGGCAAGGTCATTCTCCATCATCATATCTCCCATACACCACTCTAACCCTAGATACTCCGACGCCTCTTCCGACCTTAACCTCCAGTCTCCGTCTCCGGATAGGCTCCGAGTAAACAGAAAGGGTTCGTCTCTGAGAATGTTTAGCTTTTGGAATCAAAACGTTGGCTTTCCACGCATTTCCTCTGCTTCTACCTCACCGGAAAGATGTACTCCCGATGCCTACGCGCGTTCATCTCTCTACTCGTCAGTTTCTAATTCCCCCGACGGGTTTTTCCGCAAGTTCCTTGACAGCTCTCCGCCGATATGGAACGACTTTAGTCGGAATGTCAAGTCTGTTCTCCTCTCCTCTGATTCCGCCTCATCCAGAAGAGATTTTGTCATCAAGATGGGTGAATCTTCTTCTGGAAATCCGAATCCGGAGTTTGGTAGACCTCAACAGAGCCAAGAAGCAGCAGCAGCTCCTCCTCCTCCGACAAGACCACCTCCTCTTGTCCCACCCTCACAGTCATTTGTTGTTCAACCAGCCGCAAAAAACCTATGCTTTTCGGTGCTACCTCCGAAACAGCTGCAATGGGATCGTCTTAGCAAGTACGACAAGTGAAAGTTATTTTTCTTTTTCTTTGCGTCTGTTTTCTTGATTAAGAGTTTGCTGAGAGTCTGTTTCTTTCACTGTGTGGCAGATTGAACAAGGAGATGGTAGAGACTCTCTTCATTGCAAACTCTTCAAATCCAAACATGAAACAGAGATGTCTAAGCGATGATCTTCCGGTCCTTAATCAAAGAATTAATGTCTTAGACCCAAGAAAGGCTCAGAATATTGCTACTCTGCTTCAACTACTTAACTTAACCACCAAGGATGTTTGCCAAGCTCTTCTTGATGGTAATCACCGTTTTAAAAAATAAATCTTAATCTGTTACTTTTTTTTGGGGTAAGGTTATTGAGTTGTATGCTTCGAGTTATTGATTCAGGTGACTGTGATGCACTCGGAGCTGAACTTCTTGAGTGCTTATCAAGATTGGCACCTAGTGAACCCGAGGAGAAGAAGTTGAAGAGCTATAGTGATGATTCAGTGAACAAGCTTGGCCCGGCCGAGAGATTTCTTAAGGAATTGCTTCATGTGCCTTTTGTGTTCCAACGGGTTGATGCATTGCTCTACGTGGCTAATTTCCACTATGAAATCGAACACCTTAGAAGATCATTCAATGTTGTACAGGTAAAATATCGATGCTGAAGATAGCAGATTTACTTACATATATGCGTATGATGTTGTAAACTTATCTCTCATAAGCTTATCGGATTTTCCAGGCTGCTTGTGAAGAATTAAGGAATAGTAAAATGTTCTCGATACTTCTGGAAGCTATACTGAAGACAGGAAGAAAGATGAATGTTAGAACAAACAGTTGCGGTAGTGGTGCTCATCATGCCTTCAAACTTGATACGCTTCTTAAGCTAGCTGAGATGAAGGGATTAGATGGAAGAAGCAGTCTCTTGCATTTTGTTGTTCAGGAAGTGATAAAATCAGAAGGCACTGTGAAAGCTTTGGACTCTTCCTTAGAAGGCATCAGAAACCTGAGTTCGGAGCTGGTCAATGTCAATAGATCAGCAGACATTGCGTTTGGTGTTCTAAGAAGCCATGTCTCAAAGCTTTATCAAGGAATCAAGAACATCAAGGAGCTTCTGCTACTAAGCGAGGAGAGTGGATGCAGAGGAGATCAGTGGCTGATGTTCAGGGAAAGGATGGCCCAATTCTCGGAAAGTGCTGCAGGGGAGATTGTGAGGATCGAAACGCAAGAAAGTTCAACAATATGTGCACTGGAGGAGGTGGCAGAGCATTTTCATGGAGATTCTGCTGAGGAAGGTCACACATTGAGAATTTTCATGATTGTGAGAGACTTCCTGTCTGTTCTAGACAAAGTATGTAGCGAAATGGGAGACTGATTCCCAGCCTCAGATTTTATATGTAATGTAGATCGACAAACCTGCTGATTAGGAGTTGTGTTTTTGCAAGCTTAACCGAAATTATCAAATATCCACGAATGTTTCCCAAAACAAAAAAAAATGTCATGTTTATCATTTGCAGTGTCTACTGTTGTATGCTTGGATATCTTGATGCTAGTAGAAGTACTAACTGCAGCATAGTTCTTGATCAGCAAGCTTCTTAATTTCCTAAATTAAAGCTTGCTTTCCTAAAATAATTTGTACTTTGTTCATGGCACATTATCTCTTGTTCTTGCCACTTAAGCATTGCAGCTGAAACAGACATGAATTGCTTGAGGTAAAGTCACAACTTAAGGATCCAAAGATATATGTTTTATCATCTTGGGTCTGCACCAGCTATTCTCTCGATACAGGCGCACCCTCCAGTTCTACCACTTGCAGTTATGGTACGACAACAAGGTCATGGAAAATAGCCTAGATGGTTGTAGTCTTGAAGGCGAGTTTCCTCGTTGACTTGACGACTGCAAAAGTTTAACGGATCAGTCTCTTTCCAGAAACAACTTCCTTGGAACTACCCCACCAGACATCTCCAATCTGGTTACTTATTTGGAACTCTTTGGTATAATCCTTGCGTGGAGGAAGATCCACTCTTCCCTAGTGAGTTTTAATCGCGGTGAAGCAATCTTTGTGCCGACTGGTGCAATCATGCTGGTTCTTCTACTTTGATAAGAAAAAATAAGATAGACTGAGGAGACACCAGACCAAGCAAAGGGCAAAGAACCCATTTTAACTACATCTCGTATAGAGTTTCTGAGAGGTGATCTCTTGCAGTGTCTTTTCTAGGACACCTCTGCAAATGATCTTGCAATCTGTAACCTTCTCTCACGCCTAAAGTTGCGTAGATGTATGAATTTAAGACATTTTTATTGTAATTTTTCAACTTTTTCCCAAGACAGATTTCTGGTAAACTACCTCGTCTAGTCCAACTTCTTGTCTTCTGCAGGATTGGCTGAAGCTCTGAATCTTCATATTTGATTATTCCTTTTCGTTCATCATAACTTTCCATTTGCTTTCTGCCCAGCTGCGGCTAAAATTAGGCACCCAAAAGGCCAACATATTTCTTGTTCGACATCCACAAATCAATGAGTGATTGGTGTAATCCATATCTTTAATTATATTAGCAATTCGTTTAAATACAGTTAATATTTTGGAAGAGGATAGGACCTGATAAGCCAATTCTTTAACAACACAGAAACACCAAAGCCATAACCACAGATTTATGTCTGCAATGTTGTTTGCTTGTGCAAAGCTTCTGTATCCATGCGCTCAAGAATATGACGAGCTTCTTCCTCCGTGGCAGGAACTACATTTCGAAGCTTAAACCCGTTGTTTCTGGCCTTTGCCTCTGGCCGTACAGTGAACTTGAAGTAGAATGTATTTGAAACCTGTATCATATGCAACAGTGATCTCAGATTGACATATTGAGCTTTAATTTTTATAATGTTGAGAAATTTGTATGAAGATGTATCTTTTCTAAAGAATCAGAGAGCAATGTCAACTTTACTAGAGCCTGAAACGATC